ACTGAAGTGCTTTTTTAACTATAACTATCTGGTTTCTTAGATAGATTGCTTTCGTTAATAAACTCTTCAACCGTATTATTTTTATCAACGTCCGCTGTTTTAAGAGTCTCCATAGAGTTGGTGTATGTGAGGAGCATCGTTACAGAGCGGCAATCATTCTCTCGTGAGCAGCCGCCGACTATCGCACGTAATTAACCAATGTCCGACCGTCCCCGCATACGGCGATATATAGAAACTAGATCTGGCTGGAACGCAGCGTCTTGACAAGAGAAATGGATAGATGTGTACCAGTAAAGCTGTGATGCTGACGCCAAAATCGAATAGGTACTTTGTCAACACTCTTCTCTTCTCTTGGATGTCGGAATTGACTTCGAGATCACCTATTTCACAGAGACAAAAGGAAAACCTAGTACGAAAGATAGTGAAAAAACAGGATTTTTAAAATCTCCATTGCCTAAGGATTTTTAAGATCTTCAATACATTATTTATTAGTCCATTAAAGTTTGAAAATGAAAATCCTTTATTATTATAATTTGTGATTACATTGGCTGATCTTGTTTGGGGACTCCTTTTAAGAAAGAATTGCCGTGTTAGGAGACCCCGCTTTTCCATAACAGAGTATGTTTACAAACAAAATATTAATAAAAGAGAATCTTTCCTTATTGCCATTAACTAAATAATCTTCGATTTCAATACGCACTGCTATTATTTTTCACTCACATCTCATTACCAAGAGTCACTTCCAGCAACCAAACCTCCGATCACGAAGTTGGTCGCGCCCTGCGAATATGGCTAGTTCATTAGCTAGCTCGCCAAACGACCTCCTTGGGTCACCGGGGTCCATAGGACAAGGAAACTACACTTATTGTATTTTTGCTTCACCCAGTGATGGAAAGGTCTGTCATTTTGTACAGTAAACGAGGAAATAAAGTGGCGATGGCGTCGTCACGGTAAAGTTTTGCCGAATTCTGTTTTGCGTGATTAGTTGTGTTTTGTTTACGATGTAGGTAGGTTGTGTGTGTGTGTGTGTGTATATGTGTTAGTTGTATGTTACTCTGTTTTGATGAAGTCTTTTGTTCGGTGCGGTGTGATTGAAGTTAGTTTCGTTTGAGTTTTTATATAATTAAGATTCTTTGACGACTGCTATACATTTTTTTAAACACAACGTGATCGTAGTAGGTTTGTCGTATTTTCTTACTTTTATTTGATTCTATTAGAACGTATATTATACGTTAATCCGTATTCATCATCTTTTTTAAATTGCAAAAACTATTTACATGAATGTTAAAAAAGGCGGACGCATAGTCTCTTGGAACAACGACTGTGGCACCTGACTACTATAGACTTACACGGAGAATACACACACATTGACACAAAGGACATTTGTCGCGTGACATGGCCCGTCATTACACTTCATACATTACGGTGTTGCAAGTACACGCATTTGACATTTTGGTGCTTCCATAATTTCTAAGGGATATTACGTCCGCCTTTTTGTCAGCGTTCTTGACTATTTATAAACTTATTTAATGCGTCAGAATCATTTGCAAACCATTAATCAAGATAAATATGTTTTCAGACGCAAGTGACAGATGAACGCTTCAGCGAAAGACAAATAAATCGTGTCGCATATTAGTCGCGCGATTGATTTCACGCAAAGTGCGAAACACGCTCCGTTTATTTATATCCTCCCTGCGGAAACGGAAATGACGCGAGCGGTCGTCATTCCCGCCGGATGTCGCCACACTAGCGCCACATACGGATTAGTTTGTGAGCTGTCAAATGTAGGGATGTTTTTTTGGTAAGAAATAAGTTTTATTGGTTCATTTATGCAGTTGCTTAACTTAATAACAATGTTATGTTTTGTTTTTATAATAACTATCCCAAGACTTAATTAACTTAATATCGCGGGTTACTCGCGTGAATACAGTAGGCTGCGCGACATCGACGCGACCTGCTCATGAGGAAGAACCCCTCTGTGGTTCGAAACTAGTAGAGCTTTTCTCAGTACATTCGCGTGAGTAACCCACGATTTTTATTCAATATTATATTTGACAATAGATTCGTACATCCGCGACATAATTTGTAAACTACCAATAAGTATACTAGTCAATTTTCTACTTAACCCTGTAAGTATCGTCATTATAGACACAATTAAAGAACAATAGGTTGCGGTCACCGGTGTCCTCGTGGCGTTTGACAGTTTAAAGTCGAGTTTACCCTGCCTCATCCACAATTTAAAAGAATAGCAGACAGTACAATATTTAAGCGACAATCTATAAACGAATGAATCATTTCAAAAATTCAAATAAAGAATGCAAAATAAAAAACAAAAGACCACAATCCGAAGTTGACAAAGATTCCTTTTAAAAAGAAAACAAGAATAAGAATGGCGACAGAAATGTAAAATTAAAATTAATTTATGCGCACAACGCGAGCAAAGAATGCCACAAACAAAACACTGGGGAACTTCTGTTATTTTAATATTGAGTTTGAACTCCAGTTCGGGATAGGATATAGGAGGTTATGAACTATGTTCTAGTAATATTAGCTTGTGTATAGCTTGAAATGAGGAACTGGAGAAGGTATAACATTATAAGATTTTAACTTTCTTAATTTCTGTAATGAATAATACTTTACAAGTAATTACTCGTAATGTGATCAATTGATCATGTATGTGTAAATAATACGAATCCATGTCATGTATGTATTGATGATTCACTTTACGTCTGTGACCAATGATGTCCGTAATCACATCTGTTTTGAGAAGTTTAAGGCATAAGAACAAAATGAATAAAAATGTCGAAGAATGGTCTCCAAAATGGTACAAATACAATTCTGCAGTGGCTTCTAGACCAAGAAACGTAGAGACGCATTGCATAAAATATTTTAGATTATAGCAAACCTCGCACTGGTTAACAGCCTTTATAAAGTATGAAATATTATCTGTTTAAAAGTTTACGTGGTGAAAATTTCAACGTTTCGGAGCAAAGCAACGACATTTGCGGGATGCCAGACAAACATTGGACGAGGGAAGAAAGAAGTCCTTTAATGTTATGCTCTCCTGGTATTCTTGTTACAGTGCATTGAATGAGCAAAGAGAAAATTGCTTTAGATTATTTAAATTTAAGTTGAAATAAAATTTATTGTTGCTTGCTTTTTATCATTTATTTTATTCTAAAAGTATTGATTTTTTTTTAAGGGGGGAAAAGGGAAAATCATCGAATGACTGCTCCCGCTTGAGTGAGGCGGGAGGGAGTGTCAGACTCTTACTGACTAAAAACCACCCCGTTCCTGCATTTCGAGCCGGAGCCCTGGTAAACCGTTAGGTTCTCCGCGACTCCGTATTAAAGTATTGACTTAGGAACGCTTTCTTATTAATCAAGAGAAAAGAATTTACACAGATAGTAATAGTTCATATCACACATGGTATGGTGAGACAAAGAAAAATGACTTCACAGAATTACATATCATGGTACGAGTTACACTGGATTAACTCGTCGAGTACCGGTTTTATAGACACAATTAAAGAACAATAGGTCGCGGTCACCGGTGACCGCTTGGTGTTTGACAGTTTAATATATTCATCTACATTTTAAATTATTAAGAAAACAAAAGACATATTTCCCAATAAAATTTAATTTATGTACAGTCAGTAACGAGAATGAATCCAGTATAAGGTACATCTGATATTAGCTGCATGTATTGGGGTAGACGCGGGAAACTTGGCCTCCTGTCGCGAGGCGAAGCCATAGACAAGCGACTACACCTTATGATCTCACCCTAAAATATGTACAAACTTATATTGCGACTCATAAAGATAGCCAACTTTAAAACGCTACTGTATTGCCTAAGCAATAAGGTTGGTATTTATGTTGTAAGCGATTTTTAAAGTGTAAAATTAAAGTTGCACGTTTCCATTTTTTTAATATTAGAAGACACAAAGTCCTGTTTATGGCAATTTGTTCACATTGCGTCATAGTCGTCGCCATTTTAATAAATTTATGAACATTTTAATGGAAATCGGGTTAGCGTTGAATTAATGTTCTATGTAGGAGATTTCATTAACTGTTTGTTACTGAAATGAAAATTTATCGGAAAATTGTTTAACAAAGTTATTAAAGTGATTACCATTTTATTCAATAATTCCTTTTTTATAATCACTTTGAAATATCAAACTACTGACGATTTTAAAGTTCAATAGTTGTTGGCGCTATCTCATTTTAAATTAATAGTACTATGATGTGAGGTACTAGGTACTATGTGAGTAATTTTCATTACTAGTGCTATGATGAGGTATAATCGATAGTTAAATGAAAGACAAGTCTTGATAAAAAAGAAAAAAAGGTTTTGTTGGATCAAAACTTATAACTAAGAGCAGTATAATGTCCATAAGAAAACAAGAATTAATTTATTTGATTACAAAACACGCAATACACACAACTTTACAATAAAAATCTTCAAGAAAGTCGAAGTCCACTCAATAGTAATTCCAAAACGACCCCTCTTTAAAAATTCTTCAAGCTACTCAATTTGGACGTTTGCCCTCTGTCCCCTATCGGCTTACACACGATTAACGTTCGCCGCACAAGTGTATCGAGATCGGACCGCCACTAATCTACCGTATGTGACGTTCCTTAGAAATTCAATTGAAAATTTCCGGATTTTTTCCTGAACACGGAATTCCTTTAAGTGATGTTTCGCGAATGGTTTCCGTTAGATTAGACATGGCGTTCACTTGACCCATACGTGGTACGGAATGGGGGATTTTTTAAAAGAGAAAGTTTTACTTGATGTTTGGTCTTTGGATTGATTAGAGGATTAAACATTGTAATGAAGTGATTACCTTGGTTAGAACATATTGTTGGTAAGGATTTTTTGTTTATATGGTACTTAGTTTTGACATAGAATTTTCAGTCCAGAGAAGTCTGGAAATAGAATACCTATTTTGTATTTAATAAACGTTGCACACATTAGAATTTTCTCCTGTGTCGTGAGTGCGTTTACAAACATACAAGTTCACATACACATGACACCCAGACCCGAAACAACGATTTTTGGATCACACAAAGAGTTGCTCCGTTCAGGAATCGAACCCGTTACACGTTGCGCGGCAGCCGGATGCCCAACCACGCCCGCCAGCCATTGAATATTATTTTCATGAAATATGTAAATATTATGTAATATTTACAACAAGTTTTGTAACTTGACGAGGTTAGAATGTACATAGCAAAAAGTAGTTATCACATATTTCATTATTATGATAAAATAAGAAGTTCTACACGAGTTTGTTAAGTTTAAACAAGGCCTTCTTTCTTGTTCTTTAAAAGACGTTAAACAAAACTTGGCCCTTGCAAGTTTTCCAATGTTCCCCCAATAAAACTATTAGAATGTATGTCACGGCGGTCGAGGAGCCACATTTCACCGGCAAAGAGGGGGACATCGAGTGGATTTTAAAGTGTTTTCCACTGATACGGAGTACTGGGGAACGAGATCCGAATCAAATTGCTGTGTGAATTGAAAACTAGAGAGGCGGGAAATGTTCGTTTAGTTTTTGGCCTCTACTGACGCTTGTAGGTTATAGAAATTATTCAGTTTATTAAAATAGATTTTATAAACAATCTTTTGTTGTGTCTAACATAATAACTAAACCATATATCACATGTTTTGATCAAAATACTATGACGATTTATCTCACTGAAACTGATTCCTATTCCGATTACCAAATAAACATCCATTTGTGAGTAAACATGGTCTATTGATATAGGAAACTCATAAAGCCAATACGTAAAGCAATCTGTACGAGAAATAAAAAGTAGTAATCACAGTAGAACGGTCAGAGACACTAGGACATGAGAGAGGCAATTTTGATTTCGCAAAAAGGTCGAAAAACAGCCCTCTCCAATTTCACAGAGAGCCCCTACAAAAGATCACTCACGTTAACTATGAATGAACCAAAACAACCCACCGGTCCGAATACGAAAAATTAAAAAGTAAAACATTTCCGAAACGGAAATAGGAATTGAATTTAAGTACATTTTAAACGAGCCCCCGGCTTTGACTGGCCCAAATAATAGAATCCCGTTCCGAATTCGAACGACTTTTTTGATCTTTTTAGTGTTGCATCCCCTTAACGTTAGAGGCATTTGCGCCGTGCGACTAAATGGATTATTTTCTTCGTGTGTTCTTTTTTCAAAAACAATTTCAACCTTTTTTGAGCGTTCCTTTATTTCCGCGACCATTTTGTTTTGAGCTCCTTCGTTACTCTCAGTCTCTGTGTGTTGTTCAGTGAAAGGGGATCCTGTTTGTTTGTTGCGAGTTCTTGTTACGATGGTGGGTTATCAAAAAGAGGAAACAAAACGTTGACAAGGACGGGGTGTGATTGGATTAAGGAGGGTTGACTTTATAGTCGCGACTCGGTGCAATTTGGAAATTGACTTTGGAATCTGTTTACATCGCGGTTCGATTCTTTTTGTTTGTAGCATTTGGTGTCAATTTTTTAACCTCTATCGAATTTGTGTGGCAATTTTGTGGATTAGAATTGTGACGCTGTGTGCTTTTTTATTTGGTTTTATTTGCATCTGGAATATATTCCGTGCCGGTAGACACGTTATGATTATATCGGGTTTATGCTCTGTTATGTTATTATCTACGAGGGATACCCTGCAACGTCTGCAACCAAAAAGATCATAATCTATACATTGCCAGCCTTCCATTCCTTTTTTCTTAAAACCAAAATCTTCAACGTCCTACTGTTTCCCAATCTCGGCACTTTTAACGAGGCGTGAGGGAGAGCATTAATTTCGAGTACAATCTTCTGCCCTAGCGGTGACAGATCATTTGTCATCGACAATCGTGACGCGATGACGTGGCAAGATGGTAACTTTAATTGTAATGCAGTGATAGAAGAGTGGAGTGTTGTGGGGTTGATTCTGGAATGAATCTTTGTTTGTGTTCGAGAATTGATTAGAATTGTGGGGTGGATGTGAATTGGCTTACGATAGGACGATTGCAGTGGTGTTTAGGCTAGGAATAGCTTCTGAGACTACAGGACTGCTAGACTGATTTGAGCAATCACATTTCATCACTGGGAAGCTTAATATTTCTGGAGTGACATAGACTTCTTTTTATCCAGATTATAAAACCAGAGACTACTTTAAAAAAAATGTTCTAAATTCCAAGCAAAGCGAAGCCGAAGGGATAGAATGCTAGATCCAAATATTATTTTCTTAACAAAAGAACAATAACAAAAATAATCTCACAATCTGCTTCCTGGTATAATAAGTAACTCCCAATGGTCCTTCGATACGCAACGGATACATTAAAAACTTTATTTCCATATATTTGGTGGCTAACATGGCAACACTGAGGCTACATTAGCACAACAAAGCGTACCGATCCGTCATACCATGACTACTGATATATTTTAATGGAGATGTACTTTTGATCAGAGTGTTGCCCGTTTAGGGGTTTATATATGGTGCTAATAACATTTTTGAATGATGGTAGATGAGATAATTAGGATTTTGTGATGTTAGTGATTTTTTTGTGATTATGTTGGGAAAAACTTCACTGCTTAAGACCAGATGTAAATTGTCATCAATGAAAGTTATTTGTATGTTATTTGGAAGCAATCTGAATTTAGAAGAAAAGTACCAACGTTTTAATTAAACTGTCAAACACCAAGCGGTCACCGGTGACCGCAACCTATTGTTCTTTAACTGTGTCTATAAATACGGTACTCGACGAGTTAAATCATTGGAAACGCTGATTTTCATTTGAAGTCGTCAACAAAATACGTACCAAATGACTTTAAAGAAGATAACCTTCAATTAGATTCCCTAATATATCAAATAGATGTACATAACCCAAAAGCTATAATAAGGCTAATTCGAAAGATGATATTATTATCAGCTATAATATTGATTCCTCTGCTAAACAAAGGCCCTGCACAAAGAAAGGCGACGCGAAACTTCTCAAAACAACACAACCAAAGAAAAAAGAAAAACAAATATCGAATCCCTTGTCCTAAACCAGAATACATCGAACGACGGACTCTATCAATCACTTACGGAAACCTATCAGGGCATATCCATTATGCAAGAGATAAGTTTGTACAATAACTCGCGGAAACTCGCGGCCCTTGGAGAAAATATACTTATTGCACTACGACATTACGTTATAATATTAATAATTTATTTATTTTTTTCCATTATTTACAATATAGTTCTACACTAACCGGGGATTGTCCTTGGGTGCATTTCCATAGTGCATACAGGGATAGTCGCCGGTTTGTGTGTCCCGTACATTTATATTAAAGTTATCTAAAGGGCCTCTGCGCAGTTGGCTTCGGCCCCTCGTACGCCTCCCAAATGACCAGGACATTGTGGTCCCGTGAATGGTAAAGACACACAATAATAATACTCATTTTTTTAAACATGGTCTGTATCTCTTTTTCAATTTCTGAGACCATTTTGATTTTAAAGCATTGAATGTCAATAGAAAACTGTTGAAGGCTCCGCTAACGTACCCAGTGACCTCTATGGCGTTTAACGTCTACGTATAGGAGAGCCATGCTTCGGCACGAATGGGCCGGCTCGACCGGAGTGATACCACGGCCTCATAAAAGACCGACGTGAAACAACGCTTGCGTTGTGTTTCGTCGCGTGATTGAGGTTCCGGGAGCCCAATTACCCCCTTCCCCCCATTCCCAATCCATGAGCCCCAACAATCCTCAAATTTCTAATCCCAAACGCACTTGTAACGCCAGGTATTCCAGGTGTCCATGAGCGACGCCAATTGCTTACCCAGGTGATCTGTCTGCTCGTTTACCGGCTTACCACTTATAAAAAAAATGTAAAGATTTAATTTATTTATTAACTACTATTCAAAACTAGTGGCAATTTTAGTAAAGAACTACAATATCAGCACATTATTATCAAACCACAATTTAATTACATAGACTGACAACATTTTTGACACTATCATTAAGCACGTGAGTACTTCACGATATATTTGTTAGCACTATTCCTAAACACAAGTTCAAAGAACCAACTAAACAAAGTTCACCATTTCTATTCACGACATGTCCTTCAAATCGCAATCGACGGCAATGCTAACTGTGAAAATGGTTGCAAACATCTGTTTTCCACGACTTTCCGACCCTGGAACTAACCCCATCTGAATGGCATTACCATAACCTTTATGGGTAGGAAAAAATAATGGGCACTTGCAACAAAATGCCAGTTATAAGGGTCAATACGGATTCTGGCAGTCCCCTTCATCGTGTGATGAAAAGCGACAATCTAAATGACGGGTGACACATACGTGGGTTTTGTGGGGACGATGTAAAGGGATGGAGGATGGGTAGCTTTTTGTTGAGTGACGTAGAATTTTTATACAGTTAAAACGCGGCTCTAATTCTTCGAATGAAATAGGTTTACAGTAGTCTGTGTTATTAGTTTCATTATATCTTAATTTTCTAATTTTAACTGTTTTTTTTTGTATTTGATGGGCCGACGTTTGAGCAAGTGGTATCTCGCCTAGTGGTAAGCGATGATGTGGTCTATGATGGAGCACGTCGTCCAATAAGCAACCTATGCACTCGGGTCTTGAAGACACCCAGGTTATATACCCTTCAGGAATGTAGCTTTAAAACTGCACCGTTGAGTGTATGACGACTACATTTTCATTGTATTTAGTTTTCAAAGACTATCTTGAGCAACTTTATCATGGCTTGGGCTTTTAAGACTTGATAAAAATCAAGCTTCATGACAATTTTGTTGATCAATTAAATGGAATTTATTCAGAACTAGCAACCCGCCCCGGCTTTGCACGGGTGCAATATACGTGTATTATACATATAAACATTCCTTAAAAATCACTCTATCTATTAAAAAAAACCGCATCAAAATCCGTTGCGTAGTTTTAAAGACCTAAGCATACATAGGGACAGACAGCGGATAGTGACTTTGTTTTATACTATGTAGTGATGATTTTAATGATAACCTACGTATAGCAGTCATAGAAAGTTTGTCAATCTATTTGTTCGTATGTAGCACACTAGAAGAAGGGTCTCTAGACCCCTGTGAGGGATTTTGGACACGTTTGGGCGTTT